AATATAACAGCCCCACTCCTCCCTCTACCCCCCCCCCCCCTCCCTACTACAAAATTCTTATACCCTTCTTCATACTCCATTATAGTATATTTTTTATCACCCAATTTGGCTTCTCTGTACAATTAGTAATAATATATAGTAGTATATTATATATTATAATCATGATATTATATACTTATATATGTATATATAGTATATCATAAATTAAAGGTAGAATGTAGTAAAATTATTCTATGTTGGATTTTAAAAGTATTTTAATTAATATTTGTATATTGTATAATTACTATGATATATATCTATTACAGATTGTATATTATGTATTTATATAAAGTATAATTGTTAAACCTAAGATGATTTTCTCTAATTAAAATGATGTTGATGGTGATGAATTGACTTTCCTATAGTAGGAAAATATTCCTACGATAAGTATATCAAAGTGGGAATTGAAATTGAAAGAACAAAAGAATCCCAAAAATGTAGAACCTAGTTAAATGAAGGATGCAACATATTTATTTGGAGGATGCTTCCTGGTAATGAGATAATATTATTATGGTAACCTAGAGCATTTATAGTAATAATCTTTAATTAACAAAAAAGAGAATTTTAAGGGACTAATTATGGATATGTTTCAAAATTAGATTCCTTTTTTATAGGTAGTTTGCCGTATTTTAGGGTATATGTTTTATATATTTATGTTGTAGAATATGTTATTATTTTAATTATTGTAAATTCTGGAACTTTTTATGAATTCATACATAAACATGAAAATTTCCCCATTATTATCTATCAAACTGCTTAATGGGCCAGAAAAGGTGTCCAAAGTGACATCAAACTTTACAAGCATAACCACGCTGCAAGTAAATAATAGGAAAATTTACTTGCCATACCTAAATCTAAGAGCTATTAATGAATAATAATTATCTTTTAATTTAATTATTTTTCATAGCTATAATAAATTTTTAATTTACCCATTATAGCTATACTAAATACACGGAGTTATTCCATTGTATAATCTTTTCTCTCTTCTCCCTTAACTCTCTCATTTTTCCTCTCTCCCTCTGCAGCAGAGAAGTCACCGCCGGCGTCTTCTCCGGCGGAGCTCTACGGAGCCATCTAAACAGCCGCCTCTTTCTCTCTTCCCCACACATCACCACCCTCCGCCGTATACCCCCTTCACCGCGAATCACCGTTAAATACCATCGCCACCCACCGTCAGATCCAGATCTGAAATCACGAAGATACGATCAATTTATTACCAGCAGCGAAAACAATGGAGGAGGAAGATCGGAGGCGTCATCGGATCTGGATCTAATGGAGATGCCGGAATTCATGGCTTCTACTCCTTCTTTGTATCTCACACTTGAGTGTATTCGTCTGACTTGAGACTTATTCCTCCACCACTACTTTTCACGCCGGAAAAAGAAGTGGCATCTTTCTTCTCCACTACCTTTCACGTCGGAAAATCGTTGTATAAACACAGTGTATTTTGTATTTTCGTCAGAGATCTAAAGTGTATTTTGGATTTTTGTTGGAGATTCGACGAGGTTTGATTGTATTTTTTATTTTTAAATACGATGTATTTTGTATTAATTTGACTGTATTCTTTATTTTTAGTTAAATACAATTTATTTTTAAAAGGATTTGAAAGTATTTGATACAACTTCTAAAAATTCACTGAGAAATGGAAAGAAATTAAGCTCGCCTAAAGAACAAATGAGAAAATTGATCTTGAATAGCTTGCTTATATTAGAACTCAACTGAACTGTAAAGAACAGAGACAGGGAAAGAGATAGAGGATCTTATTATTCCAAATTTTTTGATACCTTACATATGAGGGAAAACACAACTATATAGCGGGGAGGTGACTTTTGGAATCAGCTTCCCTAGCCACTTACGCGCATGTGCGTCTCACGTGCAACTTAACCAACCTAACAACCTTTAACAATTCAAATGAAATTGGTTCATTTAATCCGGTACAATTGATTTATTGACAGAAATAAACAAAAATAGAAAGATTACTCATTGTGATTGTATCAATTACCCTCCCCTTCAGATAATCCTTGTCCTCAAGGATTGAAGAGTGGGAACTTGTGCTTAAGTTCATGGTATTCCTCCCATGTACTGTCCTCGGGTGTAGCATTGAACCACTTGACCAAAACCTGAGCAACAACCTTCCCATGCTTCTAAATCATTCTCCTATCTAAAATGGCTTCTGGATCCAGCAGAACATGGCCAGCCTCTGAGTGCATTACTAGTAGGGTGACTGATGCAGAATGAGATCCTATCTTCCTTTTCAGCTGTGAAATATGAAAGGTTGGGTAGATTCTGGTGCCAGCAGGTAGGTCTAAAGTGTATTCCATTGATCCAACCTTTGCTATGATTTGGAAAGGGACAAAGAATTTAGATAAAAGCTTCTGAAAGGCACGTTGCTTAAGAGATAGTTGCATGTATGGTTGTAGTTTGACATACACCCAATCCCCCATGGCATTACTCCTGTCAGTTTTGTGTTTATTAGCTTGTACCTTCATCCTATTTTGAGCTTTCTCCAGTTGAAACTTGAGGATTCTCAATGTAGCTTCCCTGGTTGCAGGAGGTTGAATACCTCTCAATAAGACCTTATGTCCCATGATGCTGAACTCCATCTTGAGTTTCTTAAAGTTCCACATGATGTCACCCAAGGTTATCATCATTACATTCACAGAACCATGCTACAGCCTCCAATTGGTAGAACTAATATGTCAGAATAAAAAAATACCTTGCATGTTCCACACTAGTTTCTTGCATATATAGTAGACTAGTTTCTTGCATATATAGTTGTTCTGTACCTTTTTTCCATCAGCAAAAGAAAAAGCAAAAAGGGAGATAACTGTCAAAATACATCCTAATTTCTTGGCAGTGTTTAGGTCCAAGAAATTATGAATACTACCAATATTGATTAAAACTTGTACAGCTTTTCCCTTGACTGTTACAGTTACCTCATGGTTCTAAAATCATGCAGTCAATTCATGGGACTGAGATATGAGGCAGGATAGATCCCTCAGCATCAGTCTCCAACCCTTGGCCTATCATGGTTAACAGCTCGGCAGGATCCAACATTACTTCCTCTTCTAGTTCAACTTCTTCATTACCCTCCTCCATTTCCATAGAAAATAATTGTCTCATGTTCTTACACACATGTCCAAAGCTATATTTCTCATCACAATTGTAACATAGACCTTTGCTCCTCCTTTCTTCCATTTCAGTTGGGGTCAACTTCTTAGCATTTCTGTAGGTGGGTTTTGCAGTTGCAACAGGAAGATTTTGGGGTCTACTGAGTGGTTGGTTTTAATTTAGAAGGGATTGGGGTTGAAAGTTGTGGAAAAATGGGGTTAACAAAAGAAAATCTTAGGGTGATTTTGGTTGAAGAAGGAAATGAGGTGGTCATGAAAACTTATTTCTACACTACTAGGGCCTGCTCCTGAATCTTGGCCAAACTAATTGCCTTAGCCAAGGTTCTTGGTGCTAACATTTTGACATGCAAATCAATTTATGGTTTCAATCCTCTAACAAAACAACTAACAACGTACCTTTTCGATAGCTCTACTCTAGTAAGCAATTAATCAAATAGATCAACATAGTCTTGCACAGAATTTACCTGTCTCAAATCCTTGAAATCTCCCATAGGATCATCAAACAATCCAGATCCAAACCTTGCATACAGGCATGCTATATACTCACCCCAACGAGGCCACTCTCTAGTCACCATGTGTTTCATAAAGGACTGGTGCCATTGCAATGCTTTTCCTTCCAACTTGCACGAAGCCAATTTCACCTTGGAGTCCTCTGGAGTGCCATCCACAGCAAAGAACATTTCACATTTGTACAGCCAATCCTTCAATCCCAAACCATCAAATTTGGGGAACTCCACGTGATAATCGCGAGTTGGCAACTGGTAACCCCTAGGTCTTGTAGCTATCACTTCTGGATCTTCATTCTCTGCAGGAAGGTCAGGTTGAGAATTTTCAGTGGTGGTCAAATTGGTCAATAACAACTTCCTGATTTCCTCCCTAGCTTGGGCCACCTTGAGATCCATAGCACTTCTTAGCTCAGAAACAGAATTAGTAACTGCATCCATCGAACCCTTGAGATGTCAACTTCCTTACGAAGCTCTTGCATACGAGTATTGTGATCACCCATCTCCACAGATACAAGGAACGAGGGTCTGATACAACTTCTAATTTAACTGAGAAATGGAAAGAAATTAAGCTCGCCAAAAAGAACTTGAACAGCTTGCTTGATATTAGAACTCGACTGAGCACTAAAGAACAGAGATAGAGAAAGAGAGAGAGAGGATCTTACTATTTCAAATTTTCCGAAACCTCACAAATGAGGGAAAACACAGCTATATAGCCGGGAGGTGGGAGAGTTAGTTATAACTAACTTTTGGGCTCAGCTTCCCTAGCCACATACGCGCACGTATGTCTCACGTGGAAGTTAACTAACCTAACAACCTTTAACAATTCAAATGAAATTGGTTCCTTTAATCCGGTATTGATTTATTGATAGAAATGAACAAAAAAAGATTACTCATTGTGATCGTATCAGTATTCTTCATTTTTTTTAGTGTAAATACAATGGTATTTTGTATTTCGCCAAAGATCCGACCGGGTTTGATTGTATTCTTCCTTTTTTAATATAGTGTATTTTGTATTTCGCCGGAGATTTGATTGGACTTGACTGGATTCTTCATTTCGTCATTTTTTCTAGTGTAAATACATTTAAATACAGTCGAATATGTTCAACCTAGTCACATTAAATAATGTTGGATACAACTGAACAGTGTATTCAAATACGCGCGGAAAAAATAAATAAATAAAAAGCTGAACAGTGTATTCAAATACACTCAAATACAGTGAGTTGTCCAAAACTAGCTACGAAGCGTAAATACATAAAATGTAGCTACAAATTGTTAAAAGCTCCTAGTCTTTTCCGAAAGTTATGAGGACCAATTTCTGCATGTATTCAATCAAATAGGAAAGTTGATAATATCAAGGACTACGTTTTCAAAAATTTAGGGTAATATACAAGAATCAGTCTAGTAAATGCAGGCATAAGCAGAGAATAATAAAACCAGCATATCACCGCCTACTGGAAACAAACTGTACAAATCAAAACTAAAAACCTGCTACTAATCATTTCTCCGTTACAGTTTCAGCTACTCCATGTCTAAATATTCCTTTTTTAACTTTAATGTACGCCACTTGAACACTACGACTGTATTCGAACTATAAAGATTACAATATGTCCCCTATGCAATCCATATTTCAAGAGTTATTTTGAGCGTTTTCTGCTTTGTATTTTTGAAGCTCTTCTTGAGCACGTATCAGCCTACATATCAAGGAAATAAAAGTTTCAATGTCAGCAGATATAATCTTCAATATAGACATATGGCACTATTGGACAATGATGATACCTCCCCTGCAACTCAGTGATTTCACTAATTAATTCCTTTTCTTTGTCATGAGCAACCTCCAGCTACAAGAAACAGAGGAAGGACATATACTTTATAGTGATACCGAAAAAGATGCAAAAGTCGCTTAAATGGTTCCGATTGCAAAATGTTGGAAAGATGAATGCGAAACTCGTACCAGCGATTTCTCCACTCCAGACGAATTTGATAGCATGCATCCAGCATCCACTGCAAGGTTGGCCAGAAAAGATAAAGTGAGACCAACACCAAAGGGATGGGATTGTATAAAATTCAATATGAATTGATTGTTCATACCTGTAGAGTCTCCAAGGGCCACTTGCCTCATCAGTCTAAGAATACTCTCCTATTGAGGAGGAAAAAACGAAAAGAACCATTGGATAAACAAAAACTGAAATATAATGCGTCATAATTGTAGATCCGTTCTTACCCTTTGAATAATATTTGCCTCTAAAATACTCTGCAACGCTGGAAAATGGGCTGGGGTAAGTAGATTTGATGGTGTAGCATCAGGTGGTAATGGTAGAGTAGCAGCCAGATTTTGCGGAATCACCTACATGATCCATCGCATTTTGTTTAAGAAGTTGTAATAGAAATTGTTATTAAAAAGGAGACAAAGATGAAGAGATAAAACTGTTACATAGCCATGCAATATCTACTTAGTCGATGTTAAGGGTACAAATATAAGCTAAACGTTATCGGAAGAAAATAAAGAATTAGCTTACAAGCTAAGCATTTAGTGAGCAAAAGAAATATGTTCAGCCATTAGAAAAGGTATTTAAAAAAATGAGGGAAACCAACCAGCATGCTCTGACTCTTTTGTAGCATTGGAGATGCACCTACCTGTAGGAAGAAATTATATCTTGTGAGGCAGGTATATATATATATATTAACTGTATTGCAATTCAAAAAGCTAGTTGTGGTTGGTTATATGAATCTTTGTATCTATTAGACTACTTTTACGTTGGCCATCAACTTACCATAACTGACCTCCTTTATCTGGGCCTAGGAATGGCTGTGCTTTGCAAAGCTAACATAGGTGGAGTATCTTAATGATATTGCAAGAATGAAAACTAAAAGGTATACATTCACCTTTTCCAAGTCTATATTCTCGGAGGTAACTTTGAAACGTCCTCTCTGCTGAACAACATGACCCTTAGTCTTCTCATCAAAATCTTCACTGCTAGCTGCTAAATACAGTCTTGATTTAGCAAGAAAATTTTAAACCAAAAGAAAACAGAATATGCTAAAATACTATTTCTTAAAGAAAATAAATCTACTGAAAGGTATTTGTTAAGATCAAAAAGCCATGTAATATCACAATAACTTGCCTGGGGTTCTAGAATGTTTACTGATTACTTCAGCTGGCACATCATCTGCTGTTTGAAGAACAGAAGCCCCATTGCAACTGGATGCATTTTGGAATTGACTTCTATCACTTAATCACAAAGAGAAAAAAGCAATTTTAGGGACTTGGAAAAAAAACATGGCACTACTTAGAATAGTGGATTCTACAAGCTAGCTAAGCATGTTGACTAATTAAAAGTAAAAGGAAATCAGAAGTCAATTTAAGCAATTTAGATACTGATACACATTTCACAATGCACAAGCAAAACAAGATTAAGAAACAAAAATTGAAAAATTAAAGAAAATGGTGAGGGTTTCACTAGAATTCCATTCTTTTATATAGTTGATTCCCTGAAATTTTATGAATTAATAAAGAACAAGCTTTAATCAAATGAATCAAACCAGAAGGCAGACCATGCTCCAGTTTAACAAGAAAGAGCAAATTTCAATGTAAAAAAAATCTTTGATTAGGTTCCTCTTTCCTCGTGCAGTTTACCTAGCTGGGCTCGCCTTTTGCCTTTTAGAAATACTTGGCAGAAACTTCTGCTTCGTTATTCAACTGATATTATTCATAGTTGTTTCTCACCCTCAACAAATAATTCCACATACTAACATCTTCCTAATACAAGCTTGATGATGTCAAAGGTCCATCGACGCCCAAAAGTAACAGCAAAAGAGTTGGACGAATAAGGGCCCAAATGGGATATCAAATGTTCCAAAATGAAGAGAGCTTCCAAATGAGGGAGGAAGCTAGGGGTGGGCGTTCGGGCAGTTCGGATTGGATATGAGAATTTCAGTTTTCGGATTGAAGAAATGACAATCCAAATCCAATCCAAATAAGTTCGGATTGGATCGGATTTTTTAAGTTCATTTTCGGATTAATCAGTTTGGATATTATGGATTTTCGGTTTTGAGCGTATAAGTTGAGATGTTTCTACTTTTTACAAAAATGAATATCCAAATGAAGTACACATGTTAAATTGCCTAAAAAGTTACTCATTCTTGCCGCAATCATCCAAATAAAGTATTCAAGTAATGAAATTATTATTAAAAAATACAACATAGACATCAATACGGTCGATAAGAAGTAGCAATAGTAAAATCATGTCCAAATTGAAAGTATTCTGGCACTAACTTAGTAATTAATATATTGAATATATGAGATAATATCTAATGGGTAGTATATTGAACTTATTAATATTCACATATGGATAATTGACTAAATATAAAGTATAAAAATTTCGGATTTTCGAATATCCAAAAATCCGAAGTACCAAATCCAATATCCAAAAATTTTAAAAATTAAATCCAGAATCCAATCCGTAATCCGAAAATCCAAACCAAAAATCCAAAAAGTTCAGATTTCGGTATGGATTTCGGATTTGCCCAAACTATACCCACCCCTAGAGGAAGCATTTTGGAAACTCACATTTCATTTCCTTTTAATCAAAGGATGAAGTTAATTATCACTTCCATCCACTAGAATAAAATCAAGCAGAGTACTATCTCCGTAGCAAAACTAATTGATTTGCTAACAGCATAAATCCAAGTTAAAGTATTTGCTTGGAGCAAGAAAGGCTAGATTTAACAAGTCAAAGAAAATGCTAAAACATATTGTGCACTAATGTTTCATGAGGCTAAAAGTCAAATGTAATTCAAACAGCAGCCATATAAGTATATAGAAATACCTCAAAAATGTCTAAGATTGAGCAAGTTATGCCATACCTCTGGCCAGAATTTACGGGCATGCCCTCGAACAATTTGGCATCAGCCACTTGTTCACCTTTTCCCACCAAATTCATTTCCATGCGATTCTCATAACATGGCGAAGAATTCTGTGAAATGTGAGGTTCATGAACTGAACTAGCAATGCTTAAATCATCATCAGATTTCTCGCACTTAGTTCTGAAAAGTTAAAAAATAAAAATAAAAGGAATGTTTAGCTACTGATCCTAGCAAACGTAACAATGTGCTCTTATTTAGCATAGCGAAAACATGATACAAGAGTAACGGTGAAACTCTAACACAGCATGGATGACATACATGCTATAAGCCACATTCTGGTTGGCAGGTGAAGGAGGGGCAGATGGATTGTTACTGTCCTGTTGAGAGATGTATTATATTAGGAAAGACCCCAAATTGCAACATGTCATATAGAATAAAGTAAATAACGACATACAAAATCGGTAGCATCTGAATATTGACTTGAGAAGGAGAACTGATGCTGAAACTTGTGTAGCTGTTTCCCTGGAATGTCAAGCCCAGACAGTGCATTCGAACTCCCACTTTGGTCCTTGTCACCAATAATTTCCTCATCTGGAATCTAAAGGCAACAAGATTTTGAAAAGATAAAAACATAATGCTTGGGAGTTGATTTTGTTTCACTTATTAAGGAGAAATTTCCAATCTGGACAATCTAGACTGACTTCATCCCATAACAAGTTTCACAAGGCGGAAATTTTCATCATTTGAAGAGGTCAACAAAATCGAGCTTGAGAAACTACCCATTAACCAAGAACCTCCATTTATATACATTGAGAAACTAGTACATGAATGAAAACACTGTGGTATGTGTGCATCAGAAAATTTATCTACGTACCAAAGAAGCCTGTGCCTTCAAATCTTCAAGGTTAAAGTTCCAGCTGCTAATTCCCCGTTTGTATTCATTCTGCACATAGTATTGAGTCACAGCAAGATCTAATTTGCAAAGATGAAAAGGGTTTTTAAAATGATGCGCACCAAAATGAAGGTCTGAGAACAGAAAATGAAGCAGAAAAATGAGAGGAAAAAAGTAAGAGAAACATGGCATGGAACAAGTTCTAAAACTTGTATCACTGCTTTAAGCATAATATTCTTGTATGTTGCTTTCCTGCTAGATGAAGAATAATTTCTTTATTTTCTCTTTTAAACTTGGAATAGGTATTCCAAAAAAAAACGAGATTTGCCTCGGGGTTTCCTGATCAAAGTTATCAAACAATCACCTCGGAGTTCAGAAATTTCCGAAAAGTTGACAATCCTAACAAATAAAGGAAGTTTGCTTTCGCAGTCGCACAAATGGAAGATTTCTTAGGATCTAAAAAGTCAATCTTTTGTGACTATGTTGAAAAGGCACTACCTTAATCAAAAAGCACAAGATATTTTCTGGTTAACTAAATAAATTCCCTCCAAAAGTACTGCTTTCTCTGGAACCTGCTAGTAACCTGTTTGTGCCTAAGCTCTTGAAATGACTTTCCTGTGTCCATCTTGTATATCAAACTTAAAAATAAGCAGTGGATATATGACATATCAATTGGCATGAACTGGTGAGCCTAGTCGTATGAATTACTTGCCTCTGTTAAATCCTGTCTCCTTCTTGTTTGTCATATTTATTTTCCATAACTAAGCAATTTCAATAGAAAAACCATTATATTGCCTAATGCACGCTTAACGTAAACATGCAAGGTATTCATTATGTTATATAAGGCAATAAATTAAAAATAATATTGTTATACAGATATCAAATCTCAGTTTTCTCATGAAATTGGTTATGACACAGCAAACCTGTGATATTTCTTCTTTCTGCCCATCTGGTATCTTCTTCTGTGCTAGCATGTCTTCTTCTTTCCTCTACAATTAGGTTAGAAAAAAAAGTCTTTTTAGCATAGAAATGCTGAAGCAATATTATCATCTGGATTATCATGTGGTTCCAAAGAGAGAAAGCGTCAGATTGTGGCACGACAAATCACCTTCAATGCCTTCATGCGATCTCCAAGTGCTGGCAAACCCTCCAACAATGTTCTTGCTATGTAATCATTGGACCTTGCTTGCTTAAAGAAAGGATGCTTCAGCAATTTTTTGGCAGAAGGTCGTTTTGAAGGATCTTTCACCAAGCAACTAGCAATCATTTGCTTAAAAGACTACAAAGGCAACAGAAGTGTAAACAGCGTGCCAATAACATTATCAGTTAATAATCAATGCTATCCGATTACCTTCGAGAACTTCTTATCCCTCTCATAGTCAAGGCCAGGGGGTGCATTTTGCAATGTCATTAGCAAGACCTAATAAGCACAGAATATGTAATGCATTAATAATTCATAATAAGGACTTCAAGAGAAGAAATATATCATGTCACTAACAATATTCACCTTCATCGGAGGATATTTGGAGAAAGGAGCATGTCCGTGAGCAAGCTCCAAAGCGGTTATGCCAAAGGACCAAATATCAGCTCTGTGGGTGAGAAATGAGAATGGATAAGAAGAAGAAAAAATGAAAAAGGGAGACTCCCATCAGATAAAAGTAGGGGTGTCAGTGGTTCGGTTCGGCCGGTTATTTTATAAAATTTGTACCATACCAATTTTTTCGGTTATTCTATTATGTATAACCAAAATTAGACTTTTCGAAACCGTCCCAATCATGCCGGTTTCTCTTCGGTATCGGTACGGTTCGGTAAATATTCGGTAATTTTTTTTTTAAATGTCATGTAAAAATCACTAGTAGAAGTAGAATGCAATAACATTCGTACTTTTATAGGACTTAGCAAAACTCTCTAGACATTTTTACAGTTTAAAAGGTGATAAATTAAAAATATATAAAAAATGACTAGAGTATAGATCCATCAACTATTCTTAATCAGCATAAAAGAAACTAAGCAAATACAATATATATATATATATATATATATATATATATATATATATATATATATCGCATGAGTGGAAAGATATTAACCAAGTTGGGTCTCAAGAATAAAGTCTATAAAAGATTAAATATTCAAAAAGATAAATCTAAATCATATGAAAGGAAACATATTCAATACATTGTAGTTTGCTACTCATAATCACTACAATACCTTGTGTTTTGCTAGTGAATATACTGGAAATAATTTAGTTGCAATAGGAGTAGCATAATAGGTTTGGGAATTAGGATTTTAAGTTTAATTACTTGTTGGCTTGTAACTATTTCATAATTCCAAGGCCCCAGAAAAAATTTAATGCTTTATTATTTTTAAACTTAATATATGAAAATATATTTTTCACATTGTAAATTTATTCGGTACGGTTCGGTATTTTTTCGGTTTATTTTCATAAAATAAAAAAACCTACCCTAATTATCGGTTCGGTTATAAATTTATATAAAAACCTACGGTTTTATTTTTTAAAAAAAAAACTAAAAATCGGTTTGGTACGGTACGGTTCGGTCGATTTAGTCGGTTTTCAAATATCCATTGACACCCCTAGATAAAAGTACACATTCTGCACAGAAACATTACTTGAAATCATAACCATGCAATTGCTCCATGACCTCAGGTGCCATCCTGTAAAAGAAATCTAAATTAAAAAACATTATATGCAATATGAGCGAATCTTCATATTTAACATCTTAGTTTCTAGATGCACACTTTATGCATGCACTTATTGTCACATGTCCATAGTAGTTAGGACCACAATAGATCAAAAGTTCAAAGCTTATCAACCATCAAATAAATCATGAAAACTAAGTAGATAAAACTCTACAAGCATTCTCTTTGGTTAGAGCATACCAACAAGGAGTTCCGACAAATGTGTTCCGCATACGTTGCCTATCACCTGAATCAAATAAATAAGCAGAGACACCAAAATCTCCCAACTTTATTCCACCTCGTGAATCAATGAGAATATTTCCAGCCTGCAATAACCACAGAAGTACGTCATAAACCTAGGCATGGTAATGGAAAAGTTAATGTTACTTAGAAACATTTGGGTGTTCATGCAGCTGATGCCAAATTTGAATAAGATTTGTCCTTTGTCATACTTACATGGGATCTTAAGTGGAACAGGAATGCTATAGTTTCTTGAAAGGAATCCATGTTCAAACTCGAAAGAACAACAAATGACGTTTACTACAACTTTCGAACACATGTATGTATAGATCATGTCTAGTGAAGCAAGTTTCAATTAGAGTGCCAAGACAAACATCCTAATTCCTATTAATATCATTAAATCAAGACTTGTAAAGCTGAAATGTGTATGTACTGTCATCCAACGTAAAAAGATCAGCCAATGCACGGAAATCAGTAATGGGTTTAAGTAACAATTGAACTTACTTTAACATCACGATGGATGAAGCCATGATGATGAAGATATTCCAAACCCTTTAGAACTTCCCGCAATACTGTTGCAATAACAGTCTCTTCAAACCCATCCTGATGAGCAGCCTTTAGAATGTGTAGACAGGAACCTCCAGCCATGTAAGGCATGACAACCCATAGGTTATGATCACTAACAAAGGAGCAGTGTGATTTAAGAACATTGAGATGATCGACTAGGACCATTGTTTGGGCTTCACGTGAGATGTTATTCTGGATATAAATACGAAGAGGAATCAGCAATTTGTTTGATCCTATAACCAGATTATCGTCAAGCAAATTAAACAAAATGCATGAGCACTTAATTACTCCTTTCCCGGAGATATCTAGTTTTATTCTTGCTACAAATAACCTAAGCTTCTATCAGCATTGAGGTATAATTTTAATACACTGCTTAAAACTACTTTCATTTGAGCCATTCATGGACAATTTACCGCAAAACAACCTGTTGAATTGGTTTATAAAAACAGGTATAAGCTAATTGTTATGTCTCAACTCTTTTCACAGAATGCTAGCATGTTGTATGGAGATACTTTAACGCCCATAAAAACTGAAATTAATAGTTAAATCAAAAGCACATAGATACAGGAAGTTGATAACCAATCAATAAACAACATAGCACGTGATATTTTTTTGAATAGGATCTCACAAAGCGTGATTTCATTATAAATAGTTAAATAGAAGAAGTGTACCAAATCGGAATTATCGCGTTCGAAGTCGAGGATTTTGATGGCAACGACCTCATTGAGAGGATTACATAAAGCACGATGAACCGAGGCACTCACTCCCTGCCCTACCTCCTCGTAAAGCGTGTAATGCTCCGGCCCAATCGGATATTTCTTCTTGTCCATTGTCCAAATTCAGAAGAAAAAATATCCCAGAGAACAAAATCCTTCTGACTACTGAACGTCAAATAACACACAAATGCAGCTCGCCGGCGATCTACAGATCCGAATTCTACGCAAATTCCTCTATCACAACCACAAAAAATCAAAATCGTCCAATCAAAATCAGGCGAATTTCAACTTTTATCAACAAACAGAGCCTTTAGAAGAAAAAAATGAGAAAGAAAACTCACGGGTATCAAGTTCAGATCCATGGACTAGAATTAAATAAACATGCGGAAAAAGGCAAAATATTAACCAAAGCAACCGAAATTATGATGTATAAAGAAAAAAAAAAGGGGGAAAATTAAAAAAGGAAACTTTTAAGTATCATATATCTGTATAATGATAAAGCAACGAGAAAAAAGAAAAAGAAAAGAGTGAGAAGAAAGGAAAAGGGAGAGGAAGAGGAGGATTGTCTTCTCCGTTTTCTCGTGAGTGAGAGAAAGCGCGCCTATCGGATCGCCGCTCCAACAGGAAGGAGGAGCTTTTTTGTATTGCATAAATCCCGCCACTTGTTGTGTTAACACTCGACCTTTTCCCGCATGTTGGATATTTTCCCCCTATTCATGTTCCCTGAGGGTACGATTGGGATTTCATATGGTACAACTACCTTAAGCGATTGATAGGGATTTTTTTAGATTATTTCGAATGGATGTCACGTGAGAAGCGCGTGCTTCTCTGTTTAAATATACAGCTCAGTGATGATCGTGTCCAGTACGAGGATTAAATATACAGCTCGGATTGTCTTTTTAACATAACTAGTCTTACGGTACGCGTTTTGTACGTGTTCCTCGTGTAATAGATAAATTACTTTTAAGAAATCACATAAGTAGTATTAAACGATGTGTTTGAGTTGTAAAATTAAAATAAAAAGTATAACATTGTAACTATATGTTCATAGACTCTATTTAACTAGCTCTATAAATGATAAAATCTTGAACACATGAAAGTCATCAGTGTTTTATAGGAATACCTTGTGAAAATTATGGAAACCAAATAATTCCAAAATATACTTTTATCGCGATGATTTGTTAGATAATACAAATTAATTAATTAAATCTTTTGGTCTTTTACAGATATAAGAATGATGGGTTGGCCTATAGCTCCTAAAAAAAAATAAGAGTGACAATATAAATTCTAAAAATATAATGTTGAGTTAATATTTTATAAACATAATGTATAAAAAATATAAGGGGATGTTATTTTGGAATATTTACGAAAAAGAAAAAAAATTAATGGCAACTCATTTGTAATACATGTTATACATTTTTCTCCCGCATTATATTTGGCCTTTAAAATTTTCATACTACACCTAACTTTTAGATGGTCAAAATGAATTAAAATTATAGATAGTTAAAACATGGACTACACTTTTATGATAGAAGTAATGTTTTTTTTAAAATAATTATATAATTTCACGTACATAATATTTCATTTGGGAGAAATGTGCATGGAACTGTTGCTTTATCAAATATATGTGTGCGCGCCTAATTTGCATGCCTACATACAATAAGCAAATATATTATAAATGAATCGTTTGATTTATATAAGGTAAAAATTTAATAAATTTTAAAGTTCTAAATATTAGCACTTCATACCGAATCTAATAAGAAAAGATTTAATAACCAAAATTCTAATTAATTTTGGCCAATAATTGAACGTAGATTTATGACAATAATTCGCATATTCTATTCTTTTTTCCCCTAAATATTAGAAAAAATATAGTTATAGTTGTGTCATAATTAAAGTAAATAATTTATATAAGATAAAATTTTAATTAATTTTAAGTTATTTTCTACAGAACCCAAATACGGAAAGATATAATAAATAAAATTTTATTTGATTTAGAAGTCCTAAATATGAGGAAGATAAATAAATTACTATTTTGTCCAGTATAAAATATATTTTTAAAGGGTAAAAAAGGCAAACGACAATTCGCTAAGGGCTTTCATGCTTTTAATATAGTATGTATAGATATAAATAGATATACATAGATTGCCCAAAAGTCTTCAGATTACAATTCGATCACACGTGAGATTAAGCTGTAATACTACCATATTAATTCGATGGGAATACATCATAATCTTACGGTGAATCCGACATACCGCATTAATTCGTATGCACTCCGATTATTTTGTCGGATACTCTCATTCTTTTTAGATAATTCTTAAGTAATTATTCACGTCGAGATACCAAGACTTACCGGTGAGAAGATATCAACTGAGTATATTGTATTTCTTGGATTCTACTATAGTTCTCTATGGTATTTACTCTTTCTTTGTCCAAAGCTACTTTATTTTTTTTTGATATGTAAATGTAACTATTTTAGAAAAATAATATGTACGAGGAAAGATTACTGGGAGGAATAAATACTACAAGAAGATACCAGGGTGCCAACTTTAAAACGTGGTCTTCATTATTCTTGTAGTTGTTTGATTGGGATCTTTAGAAAATTTTTTACTATCTTATTCAAAAGTGTTTAACAATGGTGCTAAAAAAAGGAACTACTATAAAAGCATAAGTGGATCAATTTTGGTCGGCCAAATGATGCACATGAACAAATCATATTTACTCTATGTGGGACAATGTGATACTACTAACTTATTTTATTCGAGGAAGAATAATTTTTGCATAAGCGGAAAACTTTTCTTTCTTAAATTTTTTTTTTTTTGCAAGTACTCTTCTTCGCAAACACCATTATTCAAGTCTTCAAAGGTCCATCAACTTGTTCATCAAAAAATTGCACGGTGTGGTTCCACGCGGCGCTGGTTTTAGCGAAATATCCTTGTAATTAGTGGTATTTAATAAATGGATTTCACATCCTTTCCTTATGTAGGCATCAACTAAGATGTATAGAATAAACTATCAATCGCGTAGAGAATCAATTGATCAAGACAGCATAACTCAAGTATTTGTAGGTTACTATCAAGACCTGCTAGGAAAGAAGGCAACAACTAGGGTGCCAACACATCCAACAATCCTTAAGAGGGGGAACACTTTGTCTACAACACAACAAATGCAGCTTATACAGGAGTTCACATCGGAAGAAGTCAAAACAGCCATGTTTAGTATTGACAAAAACAAAAGTCCTAGCCCAGATGAATTTGGTAGTGGATTCTATAAAGCAACTTGGAGTATTATGGGAAAAGATATCACTGAAGTTGTCCTTGAGTTTTTTCACAATGGGAAGATGCTTCGACAGATCAATGCCACAAACATTGCCCTTATTCCAAAAGTTAATCATCCAAAAGTGCAAGCCAGTATAGGCCTATAGCTTGCTATAATATGTTATATAAGTGTATCTCAGAGATGTTGTGCAGTAGACTCAAGGAAGCAGTGAGTCATGTAGTTGCAGATAATCAATCTGCATTTGTTCAAGACAGGTCTATGATCCATAATATCTTAATATACCATGATCTCCTCAGACACTACAATCGAAAAACCTCACCAAGATGTCTTATGAAAATAGATCTCAGGAAGGCATATTACATAGTAAGTTGGGAGTTTTTGGAGGAAGCTTTGAGGGGGCTTGAATTTCCTAAGAAGTTTATCAAGTTGGTCGTGACATATGTATTTATTTCAAAGTTCACTATTAAAGTTAATGGAGAAAGTCAGTGCTATTTTAATGGTCAGAGAGGGCTCATGCAAGGAGATCATGTATCTCATTTATTATTTGTGTTCGTAATGGAATACTTAACTAGAGTTCTGAATTGCATAAGTCTGCTGCTAGACTTCAAACATCATCCAATGTGTAAATCTCTAAAACTTACTCATCCGATCTTTGCGGATGACCTGATGGTATTCTCTAAAGGGAATGAAGAATCAGTCAACAGAGTCCTAGAGGCTTTAAACTATTTTAGTGCTCCTACAGGACTTATTGCCAACATGGATAAGTCACATATGCTTGTTGTTGGTGTGCCTGATCATGTTAAAGCTCAATTATTGGAAAATATTGGATTTGCTCAGGGGACTTTTCCTATTAGATACTTAGGATTACCCTCGTCATCAAAGAAATGGAGTAAACTCGAATGTCAGTAATTGATCAACAAGCTTACAAGCCGGATAACAACTACTTATGCAAGACAATTATCATATGCTAGAAGGTTGTATGTATTCAATGTTGTCCTGCTTTCTATACACAACTTTTGGGGGCTCATTCTCCATCCTCCCACAGAGTATCCTAAAAGAAGGTGATAGGAAGCGTGAGGAGTACCTATGGGGCAAAACAGGGGAACAAAGAAAGTATCCCTAGTCTCTTGGGATAAGGTCTGCTTGCCTAAGAGAGGAGGAGGTTTAAATGTCAAGGATTTCAGGACTTGGAACATTGCTTCAGTGGGTAAACTATTGTCGCAATTGATAGAAAGGAAGGACTCACTATGGGTGAGATGGGTACATGGTGTGTATATAAAAATAGACTTAAATAATGGAGTCATAATGCACCTCAAGATAGTAGTTGATACTGGAGAAAGATCAATTCCCTCAAGAACCAGATACAAGGCTGGTATGACTAAGCAAGTTACATTCTCACATATGGGGAAGGATATTCAATCACTAAAAGCTATTTGTAGCTGAAGGGAGAGCACAACAAAATGAAAGTGACAGATCTCATTTGGAATTCAGTAGCTCTACCTAGACACATATTTCACATGTGGCTAGTAGTCTATGGTAGGGTACTGACAAAATAAAGATTGCACATACCAGTAGAGAATCCCAATTGTTGCTTATGTGACTACCAGGTTATGAAGACGAGTACACATTTATTTTTGGACTGTAATTGGATGACAACTTTGAGAGTTGAACTTACTCAATGGACTAATATTCAGCTCCCCTATGGAGAGCTGAAACAGGTGTTGGAATGTATCAAGAGGAAGCACTGGAAAGCATTTCAAAAGGAGGTGATAGTAGCTGTTTGGGGAGCCATGACATACCAGACCTGGCGAGCTGGGAATTACAAAGTGTTTAAGGGTGTTATACTATAACCAATGGAAGTAGCAACACAGATAAAGAGAGAAACTGTACAGAGAATAGAAGTACCTAGATCGTCAAAAAAAGCATATAGAAGCAGACAGTTTTTACATAGAATACTTAGTTGAATTACAGTTCTTCTGCATATTTTTAATTAGCTAGTGTCGGGATGCTTATTGTTCAGAGTACCCTTCCTAGAAGGTGGCTATGGTAATAAGTGCTCTATAGGTGTATTAATTTGGTTTGTTAATGGTAATATTCAGTTGTTACAAAAAAAAATCGCGTAGACAATCTATGAAGAGCAATAACTATCCCAGGTTACTTTTTGAATACTGCCAATTACGAGGACCTTCAGCTAAGACCTCCTTACGGGGACATTCTTGTCAATCATCCTTTGTTCATGGTCTATGAATTAGTTAAGTGCACTGATAGTCATTCTCAGGGATGTTATTTAGAGATTAGCCAATACATATTTTGTCCTGAATATTTTAAACTAAAAATCTTAATTTCAGGATAACTTAAGATATTTTTATCCTGAAACATTGAAACTCAGGACATACTGACTAATTCCTAAATAGCAACCCTTTAGAGTGGCTACATGGTATCATTTCTATATGTGAATCGATTTGGCCCAATTTCACC